AAAACATATTATTTCCAATGGCTCCTATGTTAGAGTGAACAGTTTAGTCTCATTATAATAATTATGCACACATAGAACAATATGGTATAAAAAGTTTTAAGAAAAAAAGCATTAAGATGTAGTAGGTGAGAATAGACAGTATCGGCCACACCATGCACAAGCATCTCCCAGTCTGCTCCGTGCATTCATACCTCGCTGAAACGATATAATCGTGTCACTTATCTCCTCGATCATGTGCACCCGTCTGCCCTTGATACCCATCACTGCAACACCACAACACATCATCAACTATCTGTTTTTATGTAATATTTTGCACACTCATTCTTCATATGTATTAAGGAATAACAATAGTTCATTAAGAGGATGTGTCTTAAATATTAATCCAGAATCACAAAAAACATAATTACACAAAACAACCAATAGTAAATTTATATCATTATAACAAATACTGTTTGTATTTAATTTGATTTTGCAAAAGAAATACAAAACATGAAACTAATTACATGCATAGAAATATCTACACAACTTCAATTGAATAAATAAGCCTTGAAATAAAATAAGCTTACTGTTGATGCCTTCATGCACTGTTTACATGTATTTATTGACGTTACTCGAAGTAATTCTCATGCAATAATACAGACAATATGATAAGACCCATAATGAATTATGTAACATTATCTAGAAATCTAGAATACCTTTTCCAGAATCAGCATTCCTTATGACAACCTCATCCTTGGAATAATTCTTGCCAGGTATTTTTGTTGGCTTAGGAAATTTACCAGAAGTCTTGATAACTTCACCGGGGCCTAGCAAGGTAGGTGGCTCGGCCGGCGCAGCCAGCGTTGGTGATACCGAGCCACCTGACCCAGACCCCTCCATTGTTGGAACTAGTAGTGGCTGAAAAGTTTAATTATTCTAAATTAGAGATATTGCCAATAATAATACAAAAATATGCAAATAAATGTATATACACATTGTAAATATTCTGTTTAAAAATCATAGTAATAAGAGAAATTATTAAATATAATAATGAGTCACTGTATAACATACCTCAGCATGAGTGCCACGATGCCTATAATATTGACTCATGTAATCAGATCCTTGCCAATGCTTAGCACGTAGTTCTATTAACTCGAGAAGATGGAGTCTAGTCTTTTTATCTAACCTTTCATCTTGGGAACCATTACGAAATACAACAAAATACCTAAAATAAAGTAAATATTTAATGTTCAGTTCAACAACAACTAATTACAGAATTGAAAGTTTAAAATGACTGACCTATCAAGAAAGTCCTTATAAAGAGCTTCAAGTTGTGCACCATAGAGTTTTAGGTTAGCGTACATTGTAGCTACGTTGCTCTGAAGAGCACGGTCAAAATTGCCCTGCATCATCTGGTAAGCCACACCTTCCGTCAACACTATTAAATCATCAACTGAAAATATTATAATACAGAATTTCACTTTTGTAAAAATATTGTAAATATATAATATATAATAAACCTTAACAGATAAAAATTAATAGGATTAAATACTATTTTGTTTTTGTTTACAACTGAGAGTGTAGAAAAGGATTATTTATAAATTACTCACCAGAATTAATTTTCACGTCCAATACAGAGTTACGGTTGTGTGCGGAACTGGTTGTCGATTTCAGGGGTCTGGGCACCTCCAGTTTTTTAACCGTGCGGGTCATTTTCGTTAGGGTCGACATGGTGCTGCAAAATTACAACATTTTATACAATAACTTGCCGCGCTTATTGGTACTGCAATTATAACTATGCGGTGACGTGATAAGTAGTGATACTTAAAAATTTTGTTGAGGATATTAGTACCTAACCTTGTGATAATTTATTCATCTGAAACAATGAAACAGGAACATAACTATTAACTAAATAGGCAACTCACTCATCCATGGCGGGAGGCCTATACAAGAACACCAAAACCACTAATGGAGCAAAAAGCGTGAAAAGTGAAAGTGATGACTATGATCCTAGCGAATAAATTCGGAACAAATCCAATACGTGTTCATTACTCGTAGAATTAGTTTTTCGTGCAATTAAAACGGATTATTAGCTGAAAAAATTTTGACTGTGAAGAGGATAAATACTTTGCTCGTCAAAAACATTTAAAGAAAACAATTGAAAACCATAGAACACGACGAAATAAGAAATAAACAAGAACACTCACCTGGCTACGCCATTAATTCGCAATAAAAATAAATTTTGTTTAGAGATGTGCATCTATAATCTGTAATCTGTATTAAAAATTAAAAATAAACATACAATAAAATAACAACATTTTTAAGCTTATATTTTAAGATTTTATTTATTTTGAATAAACAAACAGCGAGGTAAATAAATATTAAAATTAAATACATAAAAATAATTAACCGATATACTTGATTGGTAAAAAGAAAGTCAAGTACAACCCTATGGAAATTTTATTGCCAGTTAATTTGATATCCGACCGATTATTTGCAAGAATCTGTATATATCTCCAAGGGCAAAATCCCACAAATAAAGAGAAGTTTTGATTAAGTCGTACAATTATATTTGAATATGAATATATACAAATAAATAAAATTGAAGTGTCTGTTTTTAATATTAAAATAACAGCTTTTTACTAAATGCATATGAAAGTATATCCGGTACTTATATCAAAATCACAATTTTAAAAATTCTTGGCTAATCTCCGAAACGGCTGGAACTATTTCAATGAGACTTTCACTGGCATTTGAGTTACTAAAGCTAATTGTATTTAAAAAAAAACATTAGGGTTCCTCGCAATATTATTAAAACCCTAAATTAAACGCGGGCGAAGTCGCGAGGAACAGCTAGTAAATAAATAAAAGGAAGAATTTATTAACCTATTTAAGCGCTTCAAAACTGAATATCTTTTCGTTCAATTTTCAAAATCATTAAGTCAATTAACGAGCATATTATTCCCTTTTCTAAGCGAGTTAGTTACGTCACATAATATATGAAATAGATTATAATATATTTATACTGTGAAAATTTTCGCCAGCTATTGAATTTGAGGTTAATTTCATAAAGAAACTGTATATGCGACTGGCTATCGCTGCTTTTTTTTCAATTATTTTCTCGCTCAAATGCTAAATAGCTAAGGTTTTTGTATTATAGTTTTTAATATTGTACAGGTCTATATTCCAATGTTATGTAAATAAAATTTAAATATAATTTGGCAACATTTGAAATGTCAAATATCAACAAAGCAAATGTTAACTGTCAACGTCAATGTCAAATTTGCATTGTATAATGACGGTGCTCATGGTGTTGGTTGTGTTTTGGTATGTCAATTTTATTATGATGTAAAGTAAAATGTGTGCAAACTGTGCGTATTTATTCTATCAAAAACTTTTCAAGAGTTTGAAGTGGTTGTGTACATTCAAAGTGATTTCATCTTCTTATTGAAAATATAAACGGTACGTATTTTTTATTTCGAGTACTATTTTGTAACATTATTATGTACCGGATATTTATATCCCATAAACTCATAGTACGGTAAACTGGTTTTCTTAAAACATAATTAATATTTTGCCAGTGATTATGAAGCAGTGTTAGTAATAATATATTTCTGTGAGGTACCGATAGTTATTCTGACTTAGTTTCGCTTCATGTATTTATTTAGTATTTAGTAGCTTTGGTATATTTTTCAATAACAAATAATAAATAACACAGAAAAGTTGCCGTTTGAAATGCATAAATATCACTAAATATTTTTAGGATTTACAAGATATGTACATAATATTGGAAATACATTTTATTTATAATAATGGCTTAGCTTTCCATTGACGTCAGTGGAGTTTGGTGTTAATACGTATTTTTACAGAAAGATTACACTATTATAAGTACACACACAAAGTCTCAATATACGGAAACGCGTAATTTTTGAGAAAAGAATAATTGAAAATCAATTATTCTTGCAATGTTTATGTCTAATCTGCTAATAAACTGACGCCATTTTGTAATGTCACTGTCGACGTCAATAGGGATGTCGATTCTTTCCGAAAATAGTCGATTTTTAAATCGATTCAAATCGTAAGCTGATGTATCGGTTCACAAAAAATCGATTTCTAAAATATCTATATTTTTTAAATGTTTCTATTTATAATGTAAATATAAACCCATTTTATGAAAAACAAGAAAGATACCATGATAAATGATCTCTTATTGAAATTTGTTTTATTTAACAGTACCTATTAGGGCAGATAACAAATAAAATAGGTTAGGTTCAACTTATGTCAAAGAACCGAATTGATTGACCCCGACTCCACCTGGTACGAGTCTGTCCTACCCCTAGAGTGGTTTTATAGAGCCGGAGGCGCGTAGGGGGAGCAGCCTCCGCCTGCTGTAACAAATTGTAGGCATCGGACGAGCCGGAGCGGCTGAGGCTGGTCGCCGAAGGCGACCAATAAGCCGAAGTTGCGGAGGCGAGGAGGGATACCTGCGATTTGTTACGCTAAGGCGTAGAGGTTGCTCTTCCCGCAGCGCCGGAGACGTAGCAGTCTCAAAATAGATACAGAAATCCTTATGAATCAGTCCCCTTATTTTTTTATGATGAAGGGGATTTTTTTTTCTCATAAAATGGATTTATATTTACATTATAAATGCAAACATGAAAAAAATATCGATATTTTAGAAATCGATTTTTTGGGAATCGATACATCAGCTTACAATTCGAATCTATTTAAAAAATCGATCTTTGTCGGAAAGAATCGACATCCCTATTGACGTCGACAATGACATTACAAAATGGCGCCAGTTTATTAGCAGATTAGACATAAACATTGTAAGAATAATTGATTTTCAATTATTCTTTTCTCAAAAATTACGCGTTTCCGTATATTGAGACTTTGTGTGTGTGCTTATAATAGTGTAATCTTTCTGTAAAAATACGTATCAACACCAAACTCCACTGACGTCAATGGAAAGTCGTACCATAATTATTATTCTCATTTAATATATTTTTTCAGCTACCAATATGCACAAGTACTTCCTATCAGTAATATTAGTGCGGCTGGTACTGCCTGCAGGGCTTTTACTAGGTAAGTGAAATTTTTATTTTAGCTAATTAACTATTACAACAAATATTTTCATGTTAATAATCTTATATAATTATCTAAACATTTTTTTTATTGCTATAGTTAATAAGTACGTAAAATCTTAAACATGTATTATAAATATTAAATAAAACAATAATTGTCAAGAGCTACTTACTATAATAAATACTGAACTCTCTTTCATAATAATATATTTCTAATTGCTTATTGCAGTTTTTAACGTATATGTTTATGTATGATGATTTTTCTATCATACTTTATATGTAATTAAAATTTTGTTTACTACGATTTTTGGTATTCAAAATATCTACTAATACTTCGCAAATAAGCCTTCGTTCTATCTATCTTCATTCTTATTACACAATGCAATACAATATTATGTTATCTTTTTTTTTTAATATGTTCTCTCATTATAATTCTTTTGATTATTAATGTTATCCATAAATAGAAAAAAATGCCTTGCTTTTATGCCTTATGTTCATATAGAAGTGATATAAATTTTTAACACCTCTTCATAACAATACAAAAACTATATAAATTACGCGCGAGGACGCGTTTTTTTTTTTAAATAAAAATTTTCAGTTGTGTATGTAACTAATAATAGATCCGTTTTGAAAAAAAAAAAGGTTACAAACTGTAGATAAAAAAAAAATACCAATATGCGCTGGCCGTACATATTAGTATTGTACTTTAAACGGTCTTAAAAAAATCTTTGATTATGTCTTGAATTTATACTATCGTTGCTCCAGGTATTTTTTGGGCAATTAGCAACCCTGTTGATGTCACCTAATATCGTCGCATTGCGGTCGGATAACGAATAGTACATAGTATCCCTTTAGGCGCGCCAGTTTCAGGGTGCGTCCTCGCGGTTCGTACTGTGACCTGTTGACCGATATGCCCTAGCGTTACCAAATAGCCCTTCGATTGCTTCACTTCGAAATTTACATGCCTTTTGTTTCACGCGATCTAAACCTGAAATTTTATCACAAAATTGTTATGTGACACGTGGTTTTATCGTCGCGAAAGTAGTTATTATTTTATGAAATAATTTAGTTAACTTCATTCTGTCTGTAAAATGATAATTTTTGGTTATCGGTTCCTCGTAAAATTAAGAGTATTTGGCAGAATCGCCACACAAAGCAGGTGGATAGCCGATCAAAGGTACGAAACGTCGAAGCCTTTTGTCGTACGGGATTCTTATATCTGTCAAACAAGATAATTATTCAGTAATATGTTAAAGCTATTAGTTTTTGACGTTTCGAGCATAGGTCGGCTTTTTATTGAATAAGGGTGTCAAGCGAGCACACAATACACATGATGGTAAGTGAATGCTGTGACCCATAGGCATCTATATCTATGCTCGATAAAAAATCAAAATGCAGATGCGTTGTCACACCTGAATAGATGAAGATAGAATTGATGCCTTGTTACTAGTAAAAAGGGTATCCGGTTCTCTGCACTCACTATTATGGTATTCTGTGAGAGCGTAGTTCTACCCCGGTCACAATATTTATTATGTTAATAATAGAAACCTTTCCTACTTTCTCTATTGATTTTGCGATAAATATAGTCGTTTGAAACGACTTGTTGTTAAGGTCAACATCAATTTAAAAAACGCGTGAGCTACGTAAGTTAAAAATGCGGGTTAAGTTTATCGGAGTGTTAATAAATTTTTGTTGAACAAGAACGAGATTATAGGATAACGACATTTCAATAAAATCTTGACGAAAATTCAGTAAGTATGCAGTCCACTGCTCTGTGGGGCTAAAAAATCTTAAAATGTATTAATTTACCTTCAAAACAATATGTTTTGATAGTAAATTAATACCTTACTATATATATGATAGTAAATCGTTATAAAAAAATATTTCGTCGTTTTTTTAAATCCATAAGACTAAATTATCGAATTTACCATTTTCATAAAACAATTGTTATCTATACATCTATACAAATAAATAAAATTGAAGTGTCTGTTTGTAATGTCAAAATAATACCTTTTTACTAAATGCATATGTAAGCTAAGTATGTAAGTATAAACGGTAGGTAGGTACTTGTAACAAAAACACAATTTTTTAATTTTTATTCTGTCTGTTTGTTCCGACTAATCTCCGAAACGGCTAGACCGATTTTGACGGGACTTTCACGTGTGTAAGGGTATCTCAAAAGTGAATCATAGAATTCTAAATAAAAGGAATTAATCAATACAATAACAATATTTATTTCTAGTAAACTAAATCAAAGCTAAAGTATAACAAAATAACATAATATATCACAAACCTTCTTGTCACTCCGGCGGCTCGTCTCTGAATGATCCCGACTGTTAAGAGCTAACTTTTTATCCACAGACAATATTTGAAGTCACTTTAACACAATAGAGTCGAAACGTAATCGATTATTCTCACAGGCATAATACGACTTGACCATAGACTCTTTAGTATTAATGGAGTGATGTAAACAACTACTCTAATGGGCAATGCTTGTTACAGTCGGCCATCCTTCAAAAACGAGTCCCTTCGTTTCTTCTTAGCTTATAAGTTGATATAGTAATACTGTTTAAATTTTTAATATATTGTACAATAATTCACATTCCCTAAACTTACATAAACTGTCACACAATTTTAATGAATAGTGGTAACCATAGTACAATTTGTTATATCTATATTTTACAGCCGTGCAAAGTGAGAGCTACTTCCTCCACTCTCACAACGCTGTCACTTATAACAATTGAGCTATTCATGGGCGGTCAATTCATAAGTCAATCATGCCCGACGGCAAAATTCTCACTAAATCTTAATTATAGCCGTGCGGTGTGAGGGTTACTTCCTTCACCGTCACTCCGTCATCGGCTGCGGTACTTCAAGTCAATCATGGGCGACGAGTTCAAACACCAATCCTGCCCGACTCTAACACCCGTCACTCAATATCTATAGCCGTGTGGTGTGAGAGTTACTTCCTTCACCGACACACCATCATCGGCTGCGGTACTTCAAGTCAATCATGGGCGACGAGTTCATACGCCAATCTTGCCCGACTCTAATACCCGTCACTCAATATCTATAGCCGTGTGGTGTGAGAGTTACTTCCTTCACCGACACACCATCATCGGCTGCGGTACTGCAAGTCAATCATGGGCGACGAGTTCATACGCCAATCCTGCCCGACTCTAATACCCGTCACTCAATATCTATAGCCGTGTGGTGTGAGAGTTACACCACTTCAACTCACTGTCAATGATCAAAGACAACAAATTACAATTTACAAATAAAAATTATTTTATTTTAATTATGCCCAACATGTAGCTAAACTAAAATATATTTAGTGCATTGAGTTATATTGTACTTGAAAATAAATTACGCAAGGAATGTGTCCTAAGCCTAATTCGAGTGATGTATACGAAGCCTAATATTTCAAATACAGTTCTACGGAATGACCTTAGTAACGGAATCAATAATCCTATGTCATTATAAAAATAATAAAATATGAGCACGTTATAATATTGTGTTTTTTATTTAATAGCAAGGAATCTGCAGCTAGAAAGAAACTTGCTGAGAAATCTAAGAAAATACTTATCTAAAGAAAAAATGTGCTTCTTACAAATCAAATGCATAAAATTTTAAACATAAATTCGGTCTCAAACAAAATGCTAAGATTGATTTAATCTTTAATGAAAAAGAGGAAACAGAGCACGCATTATTTATTATATACTGCATGCACCTTTAATTATTCTCCAGCTGCGTATAAATACGTTAGAGAATGCTATAAAAGTAATAATAATGATCTTCGATAATAAATGTATATTTTTATATTTTAAATATTTACTTTTTAAGATATGAAATAAATATCATTAAAATGTAATTCTGACATAATATTATGTTATATTATATTAAATTAACACATATGCAAAATAAAGAACAATTAAAAAAATTGTACTCGATATAATTAACAACACAATCTAAATAAACAATTACTTATTACATACTTATCATTCTACCTACGTATAATCTATGATGACAAAAACTGCGCATGCGCGACTCTACTATCTCCCGCGCATGCGCGAAGACAGAGTAGCGTACATTTTTTTGTTTGGTATAGCTTCTCTAGTACTTAGTACATATAACTCAATAATTTAGTGTCCTAATTTTTGTTCTATTTATACGTAATTATATCTCTACTATTTTCACTAAGTTTGAATCAGCAAATTTTATATAAACGTAATGATACGAATATATAACTTTATTAGACATTTTATATTAATAATCAAATCATATCCATAGTACTTAGTTTCAATTAGTCTTTATTACAAATATAATCATTTTTACTATCACTGTCTTCACTGGAAGAGCAAGCAGAGATGTTGAAATTCAACCATCGGAATATTTGTCATTTCTTTTATCATGGTAACAGTTGTTTCATACTTTGCTTCTATTTTCGTCAAAGGAGTGTCTTTTACAAGGAACCAGGAATTTGGGAGGACCCGTTTTTTTTAAAATTCTATATGGGCCTGACACAGAACCAAACTTCCAACAGCACCTTTTTTTCTGACCCGGTGCCGCTACTCTCGCCTTTGCTATCCTAACGAGATCACCCTCTATATAATCATAGCATATAAACACACATACCTGTCACCCATAAGGTTAGACAGGGGCTACGAACTTCCATTTGGTACGATTCAGACACTGCTCTCGCCTCTTTTACATCCATATACCTACGCGTACATGCTTACATGCTCGTTGACTAAGCGTACTATTAATCTGGCCCATCTTCAATATATCGCCAATTTGATTAATAAGCTTTTGCCTAGGGCGTCCCTTCCTGACTCTACCATTCACTTCTGCAACACTTTGTTACTCTTTCCTCGCCCATTATTTCTACATGACCTTACCACCGAAGCATTCCTTTTTTAATCACAACATCTTTCAAACCACACTTTTCTCTTATCACACAATTTCTCATCCTATCATTAAGGTTAATCGGGCGCTAACATA